CAAGCATGTATTGCTAGTATATTCTCAGATCAACATGAGATTGCAAAGACATTTATCATCAATCTTAGGCAAGAGATTTCAATCAGCAGATCTATGCAGTAGTTTGTATACCTATATTGTTTTCAATTATAACATGATTCCAGCCCACTCACACCACTTCCATCAACAAGAACTCTTGGTGATGTCATGAATAAACCGATTACTGAAAGTATGCACCATTAACAATACCATATTTGTGCTTCAGAGATACAGTTATTGACCTAATTTGGAAGTTTTAAAGAGCATAAAACAGACATATACCATAATTATCCCTAACCCAGATAACTTAACTGAATTATCATGGACACTTTATTTTGATTTGTATTGCTGATGATACTCAGCTTTGATATCAATTATATCATATTCAGTACCAAGTAAATTTTCCTCATTCACATAGATGTTTCTTGCCCATCAAAGACATTGACTACACAAACAACTTGCTGCACGCACACAAGTTAATATGTTCTCAATAATCTAAATTCTGGCAGCCCTTTGAGACACATACCATCTTCATCTACAGTAGTCTTAAACAATCCAGAATATAGTGATACACTGGGTCCTGGATAATCAAGGCATTGCTGTACATACCTCATATCTGACTGTCACTTCCATTTATTTATGAACACAGTGGCATTGAGTAATTTCTATGGAAAGATAGTGCGCTGAATCACTCCCACTGCAACCTCATCAACTTCTAATCCATAGTCTCATAATAAGCTGTTTAGCTAAGGTAATGAATGACTTGGTGTCTCAACATAACCATGCTTAAGAGCTGGCACAATGAATACAAGCGGGGTCAGTTGTAGTGCTTCCCTGTAAGCCTTCCATTACTAATGGTTCTTGGCTGCTTCTTTTTGCTGCTACACAGGGGTGGAGGCTTGACAGAGGTCGCCAACTTCAGAAATGGATGCTGGGGAAAAAAGAATAATAATATACCAGTATATAAAAACTTGTGTAGTGAACAAATCATATAGGCAGCACTTCTCCCCAGTCACAACCACTTGGTTTGTGACACTGATGCATAGAATACCTATTTCTCTTACTCTTTCAACCCCATTTTACCCTTAATGCAGGCTGGACATGGACATATGCATGTCCTTCCCGAAAATCACCTGTTTCCTCAAGTGCATATTTTGCCCCATCCTACCATCTTCCTTCTACTACTTACCCTGACATGCACTCTTACCAATCTCACACTTCCTTGTTTCTCAATACAGTAAGTCCTCGCTAACGCTGTGGTTACGTTCTTGAAAAACACAAAGTTAACAGAAACAATGTTAACAGAATAAATTATCCCATTAAGAAAGATAAAATACGCTACTTACGTTCCCCAGCCTCAATGGAATTTTAAAAATATATGTTATACATCCAAAAGATAAATAATCTAAATCATTTTTTAATGTACTCACTGATGGGCAGAGGAGGAGGAGTGTGTGGTGGGTTTAAACCTCCATTTTCGTAGCAAGGCTAATGGTCTTGCATTGCTTCTTCACAACACTAGCATTACTAACACTTGATGGGTGCTTGGAAACCATTTCATGGTTACAGTACAGTATTTATAGCAAAACACTTAAGCACACACGCACGGCCTGGAAGCCTAACAAAGACTGAGGGTTGTGACGCCCAGAGCGAAGCACCAGATGAGAGAGGGTGATGAGCCATAAGTAGTCCATGACGACGCCAATGACGAATCGGTCGACATTGTCGGAATCATGGTTATCTAAAGAGTAGCAACGCTACAACGAAACAATGTTGTCTGGGGCAACGTTAAACGAGGACTTACTGTACTGTATGTCCACATCTCCCAAATAGACCCTGATATCCTTATTTTATTTCCATATTCCTCATTTCTGTGTTTCTTATTCTGAATCTTACTTACCCAAAAATTACTCACAAGCATGTCTCTTTTATCACATCTAATTTTATCCTTCCTCTTGTATCTACTGTACAGCTGCATGCCCAATCAACACAAAAAATATGCCTAAATCAAGAGCTATAAGCCATTTGGAACCTGTAATTGTCTAAAATACATTTGCACATGCAAGTATAAAATGGAATGTGAAAAGGATAAGAAATTATTTTAAAGGTAAGTAAGAAACACCAACAGGGAAGGATAATCTTAAGAAATATTATGAATTTGTGATAAAAAAAGGGAAAGTATAATCAGTTTGGAATTTAAGGTTGGAAATAGGGAAAGACAAGACTAATCCAAACCTTAAGGAGTTGGTGGGCTGTGGAGCGCCTTTCAACTTCAACATCCAAACACTGGTCAAGGAAATCCTGGAACACATGAGATAGCTTCTCCGCTCCTTACTCTGGTTTTCCATTGGTTGCAATCAGGTACAATGCTCTGAGAGGATTTTCATTCAAGTATGGAGGTTCTCCTGTAAAGGAAGAATTTAAGAATTACATTTTCTGAGACCTTTAATCCATGAACTGCATCAGTTTTAAACCATTTTGTGTTAATTTGCTTTTAACTGTACAATGCATTTATCAATTTACTAAAAAGAAATACAATGCCAATACAGGATAAAATTATAATCATCTAGTTAATATTACCAAAAAAGCAAATACAGTAAAGTGTTTATGAAGTTTTTTTCTTCCAGAAATAACTTTGCTGGATATTAATTCTGCACACCATGATTTTTTTCTATTCTGGCCAGTACAGTACAGTACACCCATCCATCAGTTATAAATACAGTCATCCCTTGGTTATCACGCTTAATTTGGACCGCACCAGTGCGTGATACCGAAAAACACGAAAACAAAAGTACAGAGCCTATGGGATTTATTCTAATAGGTTCCAGGCACCCTAGACCCAATCCCAATTTTCCCATTTTATGACCATTTAGACCCACTAAAGATATAGATAAAGTTATGGTAAATATCAGACACACACATAGGCATGGCTAGGTTTATTACAAAGTGATGAAAAGGTAAGCTCAATACTGTAGTCCACAAAACATGTAGCTATGCTTTCTTTATTTGAGTTCCCTGTCTGAGGAGTCCGCTTTCATCACTTCCGGACGCCGAAGTCCTCCGCTCTCAATCTTAGAGTGCACCCGAGACTTCGTTATTCCTAGTAATGACATAAAATTTGAAATTGCAACTGGGATTGCAATTTTGGAGGCAATTTAGATGTATGATTATAGTTGGAACATTCAAGATCCATTGTGAGTGATGTTGAAAGCTTCAACTGTCTATATGGTTGGTAAAACTTGACAAGTAAATGAGTGTCAAGTCTGTCAGTATGAGTGGCATGTGTGAGTGCTTGTGTTTGTACAACCACTTTCAAGTTTTGTTACCTCCATCCATCTTCATCCAGCAAATGTGTTATTGTTAATGTGGGTGAAAGATTTTATCCTCAACAGATGTAGGTGAAGCAAGGGGGTAACAATACACCTGGAGGCAACTGTGTGATAACTAAATTCTCGGCCTAAAGATATAGATAAGTGTCAGAAACACACATAGGCAAGGCTAGGTTTATTACAAAGTGATGAAAAGGGCAAGCTCAATACTGTAGTCCACAAAACATGTAGCTATGCTTTCTTTATTTGAGTCCCCCATCTGAGAATTCCGTTTTCTCTCGCTTCAGGACGCCCGAGTCCTCCGTTTTCTTTCAATCTTAGAGTGCACCCGAGACTTCGTTATTCCTTAGTAATGACACAGAATTTGATATTGCAACCCCAATTGCAACTGGGGTTGTAATTGTTGAGGCAACTAGATATGTCTGATTACAGCAAACGTGTTTTTGTCAATTTGTAGATGAAAGATTTTATCCTCAATAGATGGAGGTGAAGCAAGGGGGAAACAATACACCTGGAGGTAAATGAGTGATAACTAAATTCTCGGCCTGAAAAAAGAGCTATAACAGCAGGTGTGCAGATTTTGATGGAGGGATGATAACGAAAATCGCGATAACCAAGTGCGCTATAACCAAGGGATGACTGTAGACTACAAATACATATAAATAAGCATTTTACAAAGGAAGGGTGGGATTGCTTGAACACCATTCAACTATCCACGAAAGAGCCTCAGAGATTTTTATCTATTGAAATAGCATAAAAAGGTATGGTGCTTATTTAAAAAACCGCGGACGTCCACCAAGATATGACATCATGGCATCCTGCTGCTTGGTTCTGTTGGTGTTATAATGTTATTACTGCACTTCAACAATGGAGGTCTTTAAGCACTTATTATGGTTAGTAATACATGTACACTAGTTCAACCATCGAACCAATCTTGTCTGAGTTGTCTCTGCTGTTGCCAGGCTGCGGGAATTCTTACTCCTCCCTCTGAGCAATTCTAACTTTAATTATAGCTTTGTCATAGCTCCCAAAAGGCCATTAACTAGTGGTAGTGTATCTGGTGCAAAGAGAGTGAAGGAAGTCAGGACTCTCATACAGAAAATTGAAGTGTTGGATAAACTCGCTAGCGGCATGAGTGCGTCAAATGTTGGTCATGCATCTGGAGTAAATGAGTCGACCATTATGACTATGACTCATCAATGGAGCTTAGCATCAAAATGAAACAGAATATTGAGAATGCTTTGTAGCATTACCAAGAAATCCATAAGGCATTCAAAATTAAAGGCAGACAATTGCCAACCACAATGTTTTTAACGCCGAGATCCAGCCCCCTCCACTCCTGTCTTTATCACCCCTCCCACCCTCAAGGCCTGCCTCTCCCCTTCATTCCATCGCTATGGCTTCCTCACCTGCCAGCCCTTTATTGGACATTCTGGATGATCCCAGTCCAGAGGTCTTAAAGGAGGAGCAGTAATATCTCAGTATAATAATTACTGAGGCCTCTACAGCATCTCATTATGATGAAAGAAAAGTACAATTTATATACATCAGCAACACTACTAACTAGTTTGCTCCCATAATGTTGACATTATACTTATGACTGGGGATAAATTATATATTCTTCCCAGTCATAAGTTTGTTAAAGAAAAACCTAATATTCAGTATGTATGCATGTTTCATTCACAGTGTTGTGTATCAGGCGTGCATTTGTGTGTATATTGCTGGTGAAGTACAGAAGTCTTCCCCTGCCAGTACACAGCCTCCGCTCCAACATGACTCCTGCTGTGCTCCTCGTGGGAACACACGGTAACTGGGTGCCTCGTGGGTCCAGGCTAGACCAGCAGGGGATCTCGGAGTAGCAGTGGGCCCCAGAGGGACGGCGCATAGGCCCACTGGCATGTGGACACGTTCTGGCGCCTACCAACCACCGCCCTGCTGCCTTGTGGATTAACCTTGGTACAGTAAAAGTCCGGCTGCCAGAAATCCGGACCACCCGAGAATCCGGACTTTTCGAAAACTATTTTTTTTTTTTTAGTGGGCTTTTGTGTGTATATAAAGATGCATGAGCCCACAGCTGCACAGCAAAAAGAAGCGACCACGTGTCGCCACCTTTAAAACGACAATCAAACTGTGACAACATACCGTGTATATACTCGCCTCTATAATCCCCTCGCTTATAGGCTACCTGATTTTTGACCAAGAAATCGTTAATTTATGATATTGCTTATGTTCGACCCACGTTTTTGAGGGTAATGGAACAACAAAACCCTAGTAAAAGGTTTCACATCCTTATAAACTGAGGTCACAGTTTGTTACGAAAGTGCCGAAAGCAAATTGTTTACCATGTATTATTACGACACTTTACACTGAAACGGGTAGTTTCAACAGTATTGTATATTTCCATTCAAGTATTTATCGTCAATTAGGGAGGGGAATATTATTGTAATACAACAATATTTAACCAACCATTCGAAAGTGATTACAAAATACTTTTGAACGAAAAGAAAGCGAAAGTCATTGCTGGCCACGCATTTATCCCCACTTTCCACTGTAATACATAAGTAATTTCAGCAAAATATTACATTTTCATGAATGTATTATATCAAGCACAGTATGAATAGAATATCATTGTAATATAACAATTTTAACCGAAAACTATTAAAACAGTAACATCTCACTCTAACATCGGAAGCTTGGGTAAAGCCTTTGCTTCGCTATGTATTTTATCCTATTTTACATTAGAAATATGTCATAAGGCCGGTTAACGCCTGACTGAACAACGTCCGATCGCATATAAGTCTGTGCCCCCCAAAAACGTGACGCCTGACCACCACCTACCTACCCCGGACGAAGACACGATGATCCTCCCCCATACTGGTCAGATATTATGTGTTAAAGGAATATGCTTCCTTACTTAGGCTTTCTAAGCATTTGCCTACAGGTGAAATGTTAACCTACATCTATTAAGGATAAAATCTTGCACCTACAAATTGATAATAACACATTTGCTGTAATCGACATATCTAGTGTTGCCTCTAACAATTGCAAGTTGCAATTGGGGCTGTAATTTCAAAATCTGTGGCATTACTAAAAATAGTAAAGTTTCTGGTGCAATTAAGATTAAGAAACTTAGTGACCCAGCGCCCTGATGTGAGAGAGAAAACGGATTCTGTATGACGGGGGGATCAAATATAAAAAGCATAGCTACCTGTTTTGTGACTACAGTATTAAGCCACCCTTTTCATCACTTTGTAATAAACCTAGCCATGCCTATGTGTGTTTATGATATTTACCATAACATTATATATATTTAGTGGGTCTAAATGGTCCCAAATGGGAAACTTGGGGTTGGGTCTTGGGTGCCTGGAATCAATTAGAATAAATCCCATAGGTTCTTGCAATTTCGTTATCGGCAATCCCAATTAGGCGCGATAACCAAGGGATGACTGTATATACTTGTGACACTGGCCAGTTGCTTCTGGTGTTATGGTACAGGGTACCAAGTGACAGCACTAGATCCGCTTTCCTCTATCAAGGAATAACAATTAAAATTTAAATTGAAAAAAAAAAAAACATTCAAAATAAATTACTATCTTACAAGAATCCCTCTCCAATGTAAGCGGTATTCACCCAGGTCATTTGGGTGGAAAAATTGGTGAGAAGAGCTTAGTCACTTAAAGTCATGATAAATAACACGCAGGCAGGCCTCAGCGCCAACTGTCAAATTTATCTCAAATAAATAAATAAACAAATGCCAGACATTCTGTCACCTCCCCCTCCTTTTCCTGCCACCCTCGTGTTCGCGATAAGCATTGCGATTTCTTTATGTTTATTTTATATAATTATCTGAGACTAAAAGCTGCCGATAATATAATTTGCATTGCTGAAACTTTGTAAGAGAGATTAATTTGAATATACGCTATATATATTTTGTTCAAGATATAAAATGTAGTACATGAAAATAAATGTACATTTTATAAAAGTTTTTCAACCAGGCTTTTTGGGTAGATTTATTAATAAATTTCTTTCATTTATTTCACCCATTTACATTCACACACCACATTCAAAATAAACGT